AAAGAAAAAAAAATCTGCCTTATATTTTATACTTATCAATAGTCACTGGTATACCAGTGAATTCACGACCATACAGGATATTATTGCAAGACATCTCGGAATCTTTGCCATAATAACCCATACTGCTGCATCCTTTGATCGGTAGAGAATACGGCCTTTTCCAAAACAGAGAGATCACCCATTCCTTGACATCTGGAATACTGCAATTTCACTTTTCCAATTTCTTAATATTCTTTTTGCCACCACCACCCCAGTTCCCCGCTCGATTCAACCACCAAATCCTGCCTCCCCAGCTCTTTTAGGAGCTCTGCAAAACCGTCCCTAGATTTGAAAATTTCGTCAAGAGAGGAGCAAACAGCCATTGGTCTTACTATGAGAACCGTGCAAGAAATGGTCACTCCGGCCATCACCCCATGCGTAATGGTGTCCGACTTGTACGGATAGCGGATGGAAGTGTCATCACAGTAGAAACCCCGTTTGTAGGGAGAATTCACCAAGCTCAGGATGGCGAAAGGAAGAGAGGCTGCAAGGCAGAACAGAAACAGCGTTCAACGGGGCCCCCTGCCAACTTTTATCTCGAACCCATCACTGCCCAGGCGCTACATAAATCAAATTATGGTCAGCATGGCAATGACAACTGTTCAGGCCCTGCTGTTTTTTGCCACCTTGACACAAGTTGTTTATGCACCAAAGAAATTGTCCTTTACATTTTCTGGCTGCGCTTAACCTTTCCAGCTCAAAAGCAACCCATCAGAATAGCATCATCTTCTGGTTCCGGAGGGACAGGACCTCTTCTACTGAATTGGACCAGCTAAATGTTTTCTTGCAAAGAAAAAAAACACCCACGTTCCTGCCCACAGAGTAGTATACAGGTTGCTAGAGTGCTGGATGAGAAGATCTAACAATTGTTTAGGCTGACCTTAGAAGAGTGAGCCTTTGATGTGATGCTGCAGCAGAAAGGTCAAATACAATCCTTTACTTCATTGAAGAAAGAATTGCAAAAATAGTCTCCATGGCTCTGACCATCCTAATGGGGATTATTTGATGTCCACAACAACAGAGAGGGATTATCTACCCTCGGTTCTGACCCTTTTGGCTTATAAGGCTCTCCCCCCTGTGACAGCCATAATCTTGATAGCATCACCCAAGTTAAATACCACCTCAGATGGAGCCCTAACCTCAGCAAGAAAACCACTGTTTTTTAAATACCCACAGATGCTGAATCGAAGGCATCTTGCATTGCAATCTAAATCCCACGTATATCATATTTTTAGTTTTATGTGGATCTCAGAAATAGCGAGCCTTTGATGTGATGCTGCAGCAGAAATGTTAAACACAATCCTTGGAAGAAAGAATTACAAATTGGAAAAGGGAAACATTGGCACTGATCTTTTGATTGCTGCATTCATGCCTGGGTCTTCCATTTCTGAGAAGGAAGAATTTAGGTTGGCAAAGGGGAACATTTTTAGCAAGGCAGATCTGGCCTAGGGATTTCTTCCGCCTCAGCAATTCAAACTCTCCCCCCGGTATAATTTTATTGTAACCTGAGCATTGTAACCATGATACATTAATATACGAGGATCAAACCCTGTTTTCTTAGCTTCATTTCACTACAGGCCACATGCCTCTGCTTAAGTCCCTGCAGCGACTGACTAATCTCATCAAAACAGCCGTGTTCAACGTCATTCAACAGGTCGGTCAAAGACCTGGCAAATGCATTCACCCGTAGGTAGTCAATCTGGTTAAGAACAAACCTTTCAATCTGCGAACCGAGCCCATTCGATTGGTTTTTGGTTCAAAGTACGGTGGGAACCCAAAAGACACGCAGCGGCTTTGCAAGGGCAGACATCGGGGGGCGGGGGGAGAAAGGGTTCAATTGATTCCCATGACCGATCAGAATCGGAAAATTAGATCGGCCGCTAAAACTGCTCATAGCGGGGTTTGAAATGCAGGGAAGGCGCTATTAATGGGTCCTGCCAGGCACAGATGCTGAAAGCTGGTGTCAGCCGAGAATGCCCGTCATTATTCCAAAGAGAGAGACTAGAATTCACTTTTCCTTGATGATACGATGATGCTTTTATTCCTGAAGGAGTAGAACAAACCAAGATGGCCGTGTCTTCCAGCGGTGTTCCCTGGAAACCCAAGTTCCAGGCAGGAACCTAGAATTACCCACCTAACGTCATCAAAATCCGCATTGATATATTTCTTGTAAAATTGCATTTAATCCCTTCGTTACTCCACCTAATGTGCTAAAAACTCTAGGGATGAATTGCAAGGTCTTTTCCATAATCTAACCATTTTGATCGTCGGCTACGTGCAATTTTTCCATTCTTTTTCCTCCATCAAATCAAAACCTTTATTGGGGCCTTTAGGCCAGAGAGCACTCTAATAAAAATACTCTGGTTTCTCTTCAGATCGTATAAACGTTTTGCCTTTTCCCCCTCCATTCTGCTGCCCCCAGGCATTGCCACACGGACAAAAAGTTCTCTTTTTTCCTCCCGCTTTACGGCTCTATTTGGTTCACTTCGTTCTAGAGAGCTAATATCCCATAAAACGCTGACATAATTTGCAACGACATTTTCAATGGGATGATTATACCACATTCGGGAAACTGGAAAAGACACAGTGAGTTGGTAATCCGTGTGGGGGACGACAATGATTTCAATTTACAAGCCACCTAATTGTTGCACGCACAAAAATGTAAAAAACAGGAGAAAAAACCCTTTTCCTGAAAGCTAGCGAGGCTGGGGCCGTGCAGAGTTTTGTGGGAAACTGGGTTTCCAGAAAGCAGAAGTGTGACCGAGATGGTATTTGGCGAACGGCTTGGACAAGTCCTTGAGGACTTCTTGGCATCATTTTGCCCTTATCTTCTTTTTCCCAGGGCCGAGAGTGACTAACTGGCCGAAAGTCACCCAGCTGGCTTCGTGCCTAAGGCAGAATTTGAACTCACGGCCTCCGGGTCTCTAGCCGGGTGACTAACCACTGCACCAAACTGGTTCTCTAATAAGTACATATTAATAATAGATTTTCCTGCACACTAGCCTGCCTCCCCGAGCCTTGCTTAGTGTGGCTCTCTTGAGGAAACACGTTTTTTGTTTGCACGTGGTGCATCCTTCTAGATCACTACGGGGACGAGTCCCTGCAGTTTTCTCGGCAGGATTTTTGGAAGTGGTTTGCCCTTGTCGTCTTCTTTCTTGGAGAGAGGGGGGCTGGCCCAAAGTCCCCCAGCTAAGGCAGGACTCGAACTCAGGACCTCCTGGTTTCTCGCCTGGTGGCTTAAACCACTCCACCAACCTGGCTCTCAGTAGTATCATCCCTCCCCAGAAAAAGCATTATGAGACCTGGAAATCAAAGGACAGGCCAAAGCAAAGCGGGCAAGGCTGGACTTTTAATTCTCTTCACGGTTGGGGAGTAAAAGGATCCAGGCTCCAACAAGGCCTTCCTGTGTGCTACGCTTGGCTCCTCGTTTCTTGCTCAATGGGTCTGCTGCAGAAAAGGGGGCTTGGGGGACCTGCTCCCCCGTTTGGGTTCCGGTCCCAAGGACACCGGCTCTGTACCCTGTGCTTGTCCAAAAGAATTCAAAAGGACAGTTTGGCTCCTGTTTTCCAAGTCTTTTGATGGATGAACGGTTGTAAGGCAAGGTTGTGGTTTGTTTGGACCAGGGTTTCTCAACCTTGGCCACTTGAACATGGGTGGACTCCAACTCCCAGAACTCCCCAGCCAGCATCAACTTTAAGATGCGTGGACTCCAACTCCCAGAACTCCCCAGCCAGCATCAACTTTAAGATGCGTGGACTCCAACTCCCAGAACTCCCCAGCCAG